CACCAACAAAGATATATATATGTCAGATAAGCACATAAAAATACTTTTAGACATTAAGGCATTGCAGATTAAAACCATAGTGAGATGCCACTACATGCTCAGCACGGTGGCTAAAATGGAAAAGACTGGTCATTCCAAGTATTTGCAAGATGTAGAACGACTAGAACTTTTATACAGTGCAGGTAGGAATGTAAACTGGTGCAACCACTCTGGAAAACAATTTGGCAGTTTCTTAAAAAGTTAAATATTCAGGTACCACACAACCCAGGTATTTACCTTAAGAAATGAAAGCATGCATCCCACAAAGACATACACTTATGTTCTTTGTAGCTTTATTTACAATATAAAAAACTGAAAACAACCCAAATGTCAACTGGTAAATGAATAAAAAGTATTGTGATATATACATGTAATGGGATAGTATTGGGTTATAAAAAGGAATAATCTATTGATACACTTACCAGCTCAAATGAATCTCAACATAATTGTGCTGAATTTTAAAAATCAGGCAAGAAAGATACACATTGTATGATTCCATTTATATAAAATTCTAGAAGATGTGAACTAATCTGTAGTGATAGGAAATAGAATGGTAGTTACCTGGAGTCAAAAGTTGAGAGAGGGAGAGTTGGATTATAGGACACAAGGACACTTTTGAGGTTGATGGCTATGCTCACTATGTTGATTGTGGTGATTGTTTCACAGACATATGTGTATATCAGCACTTAGTAAATTGTATACTTTATGCATTATACATTATTGTATGCCAGTGTGTCTCAATAAAAACAAGGGAAAATAAAACAAAAAGAAATTGTGTACGCGACAAAGGACTTAGTCACCTATTAGTTATTGGCTGTATGGAAATGGAGGAATCAAAGCTAATTTCCCATTTTCTGGTTTATACCATGAGTGGGTGGTAATGTCTTTTACCATTAATAAGATATATCCTTGAGTATCAATGTTCAATTGCTTTGGTGGGAGGAGGGGCACATAAGTTCATGGGGAGGTGTTCAATAGCAGTTAGATATAAAAAATTATGGGAAGAGCATGATGGTGAAAAGAGATCTGAAGAACCAAGATATAAAATCCAAGTAGGAAAAGAAGATCCAGCAAATGAGAGTAAGAAAAAATGGTCAGAGAGCTAAGACAAAATTCAGGCAAAGACAGTGTGCTAGAAACTAAGGGAATTGTTCTTTCCTGCTTACAGTCCTTGCCTGAATGGTCAGCAGTATTAGTTGCTGAAGGAAAGTTGAGCAAGATAAGGACTGTAAAGCATCCATTGAATTTAGTGACAAAGAACTGTTGTTGATCTTGGCAAGAAGAATTTCTGTGAAGTGGTTAGATGATAGATTGCAGAAGGTTGAGTTGCATTCCTACCAGAAATACACAAGGATTCCAATTTCTTCCCATTCTTTACAGCACTTGTGTTTTTTTGTTTTTGTTTTTGTTTTTGATGTAATAGCTATAGCGTAATCACACCTAATGGGAATGAGTGTGATTGATCTCCTTTTTGAAACGAGGTTTGGGGCATAGAGAGCTCAGAAAGTAGATTGCAGGGCATCTGGGTGGCTCAGTCGGTTAAGTGTCTGACTTCAGCTCAGGTCATAATCTCACAGTTTGTGAGTTTGAGCTCCACGTCAGGCTCTGTGCTGACAGTTCAGAGCCTGGAGCCTGCTTCCAATTCTGGGTCTCCCTATCTCCCTCTGACCCTCCCTCACTAGTACTCTTTGTGTGTGTGTCTCTCTCTCTCAAAAATAAACATTAAAATTTTTTTTAAAAAAGAAGTAGATTGCAGACAGTGTGTTTTATGTAGTGGTTAATGGGGGGTTTTAGTGTGTAACAAAAAGCAAAAAATTATACGCTAAACATTGCATCACAAGTAATTTGTTCTATGAGTGTTTTTGCAAAATGAGCAAACATTTCTAATAAACTTTACCTTGATAAATGAGTCATGTCCTGCAATACAAGTAGTACGTGATGCTGAACACCACATGATCACAGCTGAGCCAATGGTTCTTCTCTCTCTCTCTCTCTCTCTCTCTCTCTCACTCACTCTCACTCTCACTCTCACTCACTTAGTGTGCACTGTCTCTGTGTCTCTCTCTCTCTGCGGGGTTGTGGGTGATTGTATCACATGCTTGGTCTGAGGCTCCAGTGTTTCGCAGATATCAGTGATTTTTCAGAACATTGGAAGGTGCCCACAACTGGCACTCGTGTATTTTTTGTCACTTCAAAGCACCCATGGACAGTCCTTTGCTTTTCCATACAAGAGTAAGCTCAGCAATGCTTTGCTTCACTCTAGGCCAGGCTGCCTGCAGATATAGACCCTTTCCTCTGCTGCCTTATTGCCAGTTACATTAAATACAGTATATGACAAGAGAGTATTCATACTGTAGTGTAGTCACATCTGTGCGAGTGTATACAATGCCCCCATGCAGAAAAAGATTCCATTGAGCCAAGAGATAGCAGTGATTCCATTAGTGAAAGTCATCCTACACAATAACCCTCCTCTCTCTTGTCTCCCTCACACCAGCCATGAAGGTTTTCAAAAATAAGTGCAGGTTAATTTATTTTTCTTTATGTTTTGTATTTTCTTTATCATTTTATATTATATTACAGCATTGTAATCATTTTTATATGAATGTTTTGGCCTTGTGAAATGAATCATCTGAGTTTCCATTCTTTCTTATGGGGAAATTCGCTTTGATATGCAAGTGCTTTGGGTTACAAGCCTGTTTCCAGAATAGATTATGCTCGCAAACCAAGGTTTTACTCTATTTCGAAACCAGCTGTTGATCTCGCAAAAGCAGTGCTCAGAGGAAAATTTGTAGCTGTAAATGTCTGTGTTAAAAAAGATTTCAATTTAGTAACCTAATTTTAAAGAAATAGAAAAAGAAAAATACTAAACTAGCAGAGGGAAAGAAATAATAAAGAGAGATAAATGAAGTGGAAAACAGAAAAACAACAGAACCAATGCAACCAAAAGTTGGTTTTTTAAAAGATCAACAAGCGTGACAAGATTTTAGGTAGACTGAAAAAGAAGGAAGCTTTAAATTGCTAAAGTCAAGGCACCACTGTTGGTTAAGTGTTCGACTTCCACTCAGGTAATGATCTTATGGTCCAGTCCATGGGTTCAAGCCCCAGGTCGGGCTCTGTACTGGCAGCTCAAAGCCTGCAGCTTGCTTCAGATTCTGTGTCTCCCTTTCTCTGCCCCTCCCCCTCCCCCTAAAAAATAAATAAACATTTAAAAAAAAATTAAATTGCTAAAATCAGAAGGGCCCCTGGGCGGCTCAGTTGGTTAGGCATTCAACTCTTGCTTTCAGTTCTGGACATGATCTCACAGGTTTTTTGAGATTGAGCTCAATGTCAGGCTCTGTGCTGAGCATGGAGCCTGCTTAGGATTCTCTTTCCCTCTCTCTCTGACCCTCCCCTCCCCTCAAAATAAATAAATAACTATTTTAAAATTGCTAAAATCAGAAATGAAAGTGGGAACCTTTCAAAAATAAAAGGATTTTAAGTGCATTATGAACAATTTATATCATATTCTTCTGTTGAAAAATGGGCAAAGGATTTGAATAGGTAATTCTCTAAAGAAATACAAGTGGCCAACAAGCTGAGTAAAAGATTCTCATCATTAGGGAAATGTAAATCAAAACCACAGTGAAATAGCACTTAATATTAACTGAGATGGCTATAATTAAAAAAAAAACCCTGAAAATAACAAGTGTTAGCAAGGATGTGGTGAAATAATCCTTTATACATTGATGGTGGGATTGTAAAATTGTGCAGCTGCTGTCTTACTGGTTCCTCATTAAGTTCAAATAACCATGTGACCCAGCATTTCTACTCTTAAGTTATATACCCCAAAGAATTGAAAACAGGTGTTCAAATGAAAACTTGTATCAAAATGTTTCAGTACAATTCACATTAACCTAAAGATTGAAACTACCCAATTGTCCATTAACAGATGAATGGATAAACAGATGTGGTATATTCATATGATGGAATATTACGCAACCATAAAAAATAATACAGTACTCATACATGCTGCCACATGGATGAACCTTGAAAACACTGTGCTAAGTAAAATAAGCCAGACGCAGAAGAGAACATATTATACGGTTCCATGTATATGAAATATTCAGAATAGGCAGATACAAAGAGATGATGCAAATTAATGTTTGACATGGGCTGAGGGGACAAAGAAAGGAATGGAAGGTGAATGCTCAGTGAGTGCAGGGTTTCTGTTTGGGGTGATCAGAATGTTCTGGAATTGAATATGATTGCACAGTGTGGTAAATATGCTCAATGCCACTGAACTGTACCTTTTAAAATGGAAAATTTTGTTAGAAGTATTTTGCCACAATAAAAAAAAAAAAGCTGTCACATCAACAAGAAGTTGCCTGTTTGGCAGACTAGTGATAGATGTGATGACTGGTGATATTAGCATAATTTGGGGGTTGCTATACATTATTATATGTGAAAGTTTTTCTAGGAAATAGGTCTCCTATTTACCCATACCCAACACGTATTTATTCCAGTCCTTCTACAATATAAACGAAGAAGCAGAGGTTGCTTTATACATTTACGTTTTATTTATGTGGAATAACATTGTAAGATTTAACATTTATGGTTCTAGGATTTCTAAATAATTTGATCTCAGTAGAACCTGAGTGATTTTTAAAAATCAGTGATGTGGAGATTTGTGGTTTACTTGAACCACAGCTTTGAATCCTGTTTTTTAAGGCTGCTGTGTGCAGGGCACAAACCATTTAGCTAGAGAATAAGTCTAGCTGCATTGTAGCAATTTAGCGTGGCCTTTTTATAGATCTGTTTTGAAGAGTTTAAGTTATGAGACAATAATACTGTATTCTGCTTACCAGAGGGAGCAGTCTGCTTACTTAGTTCTAAACACATTATAATGGACTTAATTTTTAAATTTCCAATTCTTGAAGAATCTTTTGAAATTTAATGTAAAAATTTTTCTTAACCACTTTTAGGCCCACCAGGCCTTCGAGAAGCTATTTCTATGTCCTGTATAACCAACGGGAGTGGTGCAAACAGAAAGCCAAGCCACACCAGCTCTGTCGCAATTGCAAGGAAAGAGACTCTTTCATCTGCTGCTAAAAGGTATCCGTTTGTAAGGGAAAGAAAAGTTACCATTGCAAAATTGTCTGAATGTGATAATTTTACTTTTGAAAAAAAAAAAATGAAATGGAGCTGTGTGGAATTAAAGTGAGCATGTCCTTTCAATTCTTTAACTCTGAATATAGACACCACCCAGATTGTACTCATTCAGTTTACATTCATGTAGCCTATGGAGTTGTATGAGGAAACTTTTGGTTCTTACTAAAGAAAGTGTTTTTATTTCCTGGTTTGGTTTTTTTCTTTTTAATTTCTTTTTAATTTATTTATTTTGAGAGTGCAGGAGAGAGTATGCATGCACATGTGCGCACACACATGCTAGCGGGAGAGGGGCGGGAGGGGCAGAGAGAGAATTCCAGGTAGGCTCCCTGGAACTCAGGAACCATGAGATTGTGACCTGAGCCGAAATCAAGAGTCAGATGCTTAACCAGCTGAGCCACCCACGTGCCCTTGTTTTTGTTTCTCTTTAACAAGCATTTGATGAGATAAGCATCATTATATTTAATTATTTAAGAACATTTTCTACAGCAAGGAATACATGTGATTACAGGAGTTTTTAAAGGAGAAATAGAGTCTTCAATATATATTTACATTTGTGGGAGGTTGAACACTATTATAACTTTTATTCTTTAACCATGGCTATAAATAAAGGCGTAATTCAAAATACTATATAGTACTGTGTGTGTGTGTGTGTGTGTGTGTGTGTGTGTGTGTGTTAGGGGATGGTAGGTAGGACAGTGGAAATACTGCAAAAATTATCAGTGAACTACAGATTTGCATTCTATATGTTCTTTTCATCAGTGAATTAACCTGTTGTTTCAATAATATTGCTTACAGAATTTTTCCACTTTTGTGTAATTCCTAGCAGATTATCCCATATAGAGTTTGGAGAGACCATAAGAGATCAACTACATACTCTTACAACTGTTTTCTTCAAAGAATAACTGAGGAGAAACCTTAAGTAATAAAATTATATTTAAAATGTACTGATAGAAAATGGCTGCCTTAATAAATTAATGCCAGTGACTTGAGTTATTCATCAGTGTGGATTTATAGATGATAACCAAACATTTGGTTACAGGAATGGTAAAGAAATAACAACATCTTTAGGTTATTTATTTACTTATTTATTAAGGATTTTTTATCTTTAAGGAATCTGTTTACCCAACGTGGAGTTCAAACCTTGATCAAGAGTTGCATGCTGGACCGACTGAACCAGCCATGCGCACTGATCTTAGGCCTTTTAAAAGCCCCTTATAGAATTCAATCTTTGAAGTCGTTGTCATTTTGGAATCCAGACTTTTCTCCTCCAAGGCATGCCAAAATGTATTATCTATGTTTCCCTTTTAGGAGAAAAGGACAAATTATAAGAAAATAAATGCATAGTGGAAATTTTTAATATTTTTAATAAATATCCTTGTTTTTAGTATTAGTTTGGATTCAGCCCATTTTCTTATGTAACTCAGGTCCTGTACAGTGATCAGTATTATGCACAATAGTAACTCAGTAATCTTAAGACTAGCTGAGCTTGTTACTTTACGGTGCAGAGCTCTGTATTTTGCTTTTAAATACTCAAGAGGAAAACTTCTGTAGGTTGTATGGGGCCCACATAAGATTGGTGTCCTGTACATTCAGGATAGTTTGAAAACCAACAAGAAAGGATTTCTAACTCAGTTTTAAATTTCAGAGTTAGTCTGATATTTTTGAAGTAGAACTGTATTTCTCAGGAGAACTTTTAAAAAACTGAACATGAAGTAGACAGTTGGAAGCCAGTCTGCAGTCATAAGTTATCAGAACTGAATTAAATTAAATGTCACTTTAAAAATTATATTTAAAAAATAAAAATAAATAAAAATTATATTTTAGCATTTTTAACTATTACTCTAATAAATGCTATATATTGTGTGTATTTGTTTAATATGTTCTTAAACATACTTCCTTGTGGATTTATGCACCTTATAGTCAAATTACAAAAAGTCCTTTGATTAAGAACTGTAGACAGTTGATAGTTTTCTACCTTTTCAACCATGGAATTCAGATCTTGATTCCATCTGTATTCTCAAAAATGTGCAGTATAAGGACTCTTATCCAATGATTGGGAATGGAGTGTGCTTTATTAATCAAGAGTCAAAGTGCAGAATCACAGGAATTTATACATAAATATCTTAAATATTTTAACTCTAAATATATTGACATATATTTGTCAATTTTTTTACAAAAGGCTGAGGCTCCTCTAATTGTGTATCTGATTAGATTCCTTGTTGACTATCTTGCATAAAATACACCCATAAATTATTTTTTGTAAATCATGAGTTTCAGTTTTAAGACAGTAAGAAATTTAAAACGCTTGCAAAACAGCCTATCTCATTTTTTTTATTTTTAATTTTTTTTAATGTTAATTTTTTGAGAGGGAAAGAGACACAAGCACAACAGGGGAGGGGCAGAGAGAGAGGGAGACACAGAATCCAAAGCATGTTCCAGGATCCGAGCTGTCAACACAGAGCCCGATGCGGGGATTGAACCCATGAATTTTGAGAGCGTGACCTGAGCTGAAGTTAGATGCTTAACTGACTGAGCCACCCAGGCACCCCCATCTCTCTTAGAATTTTTTTCTTCAACCTTTTTTAATGTTCTCACCTACGTAAAATTTAATAGCAGGGTTTTTTTGCTAACTGATTTCTGTGGAGTCTTTCCAGAGCATTCAGCTTGGTTTTCATGGAAATTACAGTTCTCTTTACGTGTATATTTTGTCAGTTTTTTTTGTATTTAATTAATTTACATAATTAAAATAACAAGTTTAGCTGGCATAAACAGGTTCTGGATTGGTGGGGGGGTCAGTTGGTAAATTCAGAACTGAACTAGCAGGAGGAGAAATACACAGAAGAAATAGAAATTAGAGAATAATCTCCTAAACATAGCATTTAGTGTGCCTTGTGCATCATTCAATATGTTTTACAGAGGAAATGGAAAGTGTCACTGATGCTCTGATTTGGGTAAGTTGACGTCAGCTAAGAGAGCTGCTGCTATTCCCCAGAATCAGCCATTTTGGTCCCAAGGGACAATCTTCATAGGATATTCTTAAAAATTCTTCACTGAAGATTTTTAATAGTTTCCAGAATTTTCAAAGAAATATTTTCACCATTATATGAAAGCAGTGTAAATTGTATTAGCTGTATGATTTAGCATTTTGAATTATAGAATAACCACTTTTTCCATGGCTTGATATATCTTTTATTTGTTTCAATATGTGTTGTTCCATGTTATACTTTATTTTACAGTGGTACAGAAAAAAAGAAAGAAAAACCACAAGGACAGAGAGAAAAAAAAGAGGAATCTCATTCTAATGATCAAAGTCCACAAATTCGAGCATCACCTTCTCCCCAGCCCTCTTCACAGCCTCTCCAAATACACAGACAAACTCAAGAAAGCAAGAATTCTACTCCCACCAAAAGGTTTTAACTGTCCCCGAGTACAGAGCTAGGGAATGGTTGTAATGATACCTGAATTCTGTGACTTGAGAAAAGATGGCTCTCCTTGGATTCCAATAGAAAAGCCTAGTGGCTTTACTGCCCCCCCCTTTTGTTGCTAAAATCTGTATTTTAGCATATTGGGGAATGAAGATTTAAGGTCAAAATTTCTCAGTTAAAACCGGAAAAAAAAATCCCTAAGTTATAGACAATTTGATGAAAGGAAAGCCACAATAACCTACTTTGAAACCAAACAATATTTTTATAATAAAATTACAGGATTTAAAAAACGTATATAAACTATGCGTAAATTTATAACCATGGACAGAAAATTGCCATGTAATTATCCTCATAATATTTTGGCATCATTACAACCTTGAACTTGAAAGGGCCCTTCTCAACAAATGGCTCTTCATTTTGACTGCATCTCAGTTGCAGTTTTGGGTTTTGGGAGGATAAGTTCTTGCTTGAGTAGAGAAATCATTTCACCTGGTCTTTTCTATGCTAAAGGCTTGCTTGAGGGCTTCTCTCTGTGTCTGTAATAATTAATATTTTAAAGTTATGAGAGGGGGAGAAGGGAGAAACATTCTAACAATGTGTGTGAGCCTAAATTGGGGATCTAAACCTGCATGCTGGGAGTTCAGTGCTACAGCTGCCTTGTAATCAAATATTTAGACCAACTTAATGAAATTTGCCTGCTTAGAAATGCTGGTTCAGGCTTTATGATTAGGTATAGATATATTTTATCATCATACTTCTGCTTGGAAATCTTAGGACAATATTAAACCATTCCCAGAACTAGCTAGGAAAATAATTTTAGTAAAACAAAGGATAACCATTCCTAAAAGATTTATAATATATTTTTATTTGCTCAATTTAATATTCTGTCTCAAATCCCTAATGGAAATTGGGAAAGCAAAACACTCTTCATTTGATTAATGCATGTTTTTTAACTTTTAAAAAATGCTTTGTCTGTGTATCTCACACAGATTCTCTTGCTGTCTAAATGGTTTGTAATTTTTTTTGCTTGGTATCATGTGGAGTTCTTCTTGGATATAGTTTATTAATGTTACATAACTTTGGATTGTGTGTGGTTAAAGGTGGCTTTTTTATAATCAAGCTCTTTAAGGTTCTGATTTGACTTGGTATCTTCTTTGTCCCAGATCTTTTTTTCAGCTTCTTAGGTCTCGTGGAAATGTGCTTGCCATTCTAAATTGCTCTTTGGATATACTGTTGCCAGAAGTATTGGAGACTGGATGAGTGGTAGGATAGTTAGCAATGCAACCAAAAAATCATTTATCAATCAAAAATTTCATTTACAAATATATGGAATCAGTGTTGATAATATATTTCTTGTGTTAAGTCATGTTTATTTCTGATCATTTTCTTTAAAGGATGTCACAAGAGCTTACCTTTAGTCCTACATTTTACTTCTAAATTGTCATTTGTACCATATATAATTAATTACACATGATATAAAACATGAAAATAGCCTTGTAATGACTTTGAAAACGTACAAGTTTTTTTTCCACAAATTCACACAGTTTTACAAATTATGAGAAATATTTTACTTAGGGATTTAAGCATATGGATTTTTTCCTATTAACAAAAAGTACAGATTGATTTTTTAATCAAGTAATATTTGTTCTAGCAAAAATTGTAAACAAGCTTGGTGAATGCCTTGTTTAACTCCTGCACTCATCCAGGCAGAACCTTTCAACTAATCCTTCCTTCTCTTTTCTGGATTAGCTTTAAGGAAATGTTAATTGCTGCTTTTATGTTCTGTTTAAGCTGTCAATTAAATGTCATTGCTCCTCAAATAATATTTCTCTAAGAAATTAATATGTTTCTTCCAGCATAAAACGACCACTGACAACTGAAAAGTCACATAATTCATGGGAAAATTCAGATGAGAGTCGTAATAAATTATTGAGAGCAGTTTCAACATCAAAATTAATATCAAAAGTTATAAAAAATTCAGATAAGTAAGTATTATACTTTCTCAGTTATCTGATAATTAATAAGTATGTGACTGTCATGCTTGCATGTCCAATTATATGTCTGTTTTGGGATCATTTTTTAAAAATCTATATTATAATATGTATCTTCTTTTCTTCTAAGTGTTCCAGAAAAAAAAAAAAGAAAGAAAGACAGCTGTATCTTCCTGTTTATGTTCCCCACTCAAATAATAAATCTCACTAATACCGTGAGATTTGGATTTTTTGGAAATTCTTTCTATACTTTCACTGTTTAGATGATCTTATGGGATATTCATTATTTTATAAACAGTATATATATTAATAGTTGAGTCCAGTGACAAACTTTTTAAAATAATGCTGTCTGAATTTCATTTCTAAAGATTTATCTTGGGTGTGGCCTAGGCACTGAAACTTAAACAATTTCTTTAGGTGATTCTAATGGTAAGCTAATTAAAATTATGACATAAATGTTCTTTGAATGTCTTCTTTTTTTGTAGGCATAAAGATGTCATCATCAACCAAGGTAAATTAAAAATCCTTTTTAAAAAATATTTCTCTTGCTTTACACCAGTTAAATTTTTGCTGTTAAAAATATTGACTTATTTCCATTCAGTGTACTTTATTAGTTCATAATAATCAAAGAGAAGTGCATTTATTATAGTCGTTTAAGAAAATGCCCAGTTTTTATTGTAAGATATGTCATTTTTGTCTCAACCAGCAAAAATGTCAACCCGTGAAAAAAACAGCCAAGGTAAGAATAAGCTACACAGTCGGTCGCCTTGTAAGTTAATTTCTTCCTGGATCTCTTATTTGGCTTTTCATGTTTTTACTATCTGACTTTCCTCTTAATAAGAGAAGTACGATAATTGGGACTAGTGAATCCAACTACTTTTCTAAAAATCCCTCTTATTTCTGGAAGCCCTGAAGTTTCAAGGTATATCATTACAAAGAAGTATAACTATTAAAGAGAATTTTCCCCTTTAAAAAAAAAAAAAGTTGTACTTAGAAAAGCCATTTAAAAGATTGATCAATTTTAACTCAATTTCCTGTCTTGCCAGCCTCATTGCAAATAATCACTCATTTCTTGAAGCTAGGACTGAATATATAATGAGTCTAGCAAATCCATTTCCTCTTGAATTTTTCTTTTATATTAATTATAATTTCTGGCTACTTGCTGTTGTTGGCTTGTTCTGACCAAAAAAGGAGAGCAGACTGTGTAAATGTGTATTCAATTTAATTGCAAAGTAGGTAAGTTCTGTTACATCAGTTTTACATTCTCCTTAGATTGCCTGCAAATTTAATTGAAGCATGCTGTTCTAAATGAAAGCATGTTCTTTCTGTGCATGCTTTTTGCAGCTCATTTCTATGTATCATAGTTATTTTTATTTTCTGGGCTATTATTATATTAACCAGATACAGTGTGGTTAAAATTTTTGTCAGAGATTAACTTGATGGCTATGGATTTTTCCTATTTTTTATTCTAATAAGAAAAGAAATATTTATAATCTTCTTTGGATCATTTGTTTTTGCATAGAAATTCTAAATGAAGTTGATTTTTGCTGTCAATCTTCTACAGTTAGGTCATACTTTCTTCCTCCTTTACAAATAAGTATAGCTTAAGTAATGGTTGAAATAAGGAAAAAATGAAATGTTACTTATAAAGACAATTCTTACTATATATCAAAACATTTTTAAAAAATAGAGATAGTGATGAACAGTGGAAAAAGCTGTGAGTGGAGAGTCTCTCTTTAGAATTTGGTCTTAGGTCTTCTGCATAATAGCCTTGTGACCTAGACAAAATGACAATGTCTCTGAGTAGTTTTCTGATCTGAAAATAATACCTATAAGGCTTACTTAACATGACTGCTGAAGAATAAAATAATGTATATGAAAGTACTTCAAAAATAGAAAACATTGTAACTAAAAAGGTGCTATTATTACATGTTTTGCTAAATAGCTCAAATTTTTAAAATCATCATAGAGCTGCCTGTCACTTTCTTAGGTTGTGGTATGTTCTTTGGAAGGAAAACAACGTAAGATTAGTATATATAGGTGAGTGGTTTGTGTTGGTGACAATTTTCAAAGCCATTCAGGTAAGCAGGCAAATAAATATACTTAAGAGGGAAGGATTTTGCTACAGAAGCATCACTAAGCAGGATTTTAGTCAGTGTCTAGGAAGAAGGATGGAGTGAAAAGCTAAAAAAGAATACAGAAAAATAAATTCTGTTAACAAGAATTTTAGCTCAAAAAGATTGTCCCAGATGTTGGAATTTATTAATGTGAAGTGTTGCTTGCATTCACCCCTGTTTTTGGAATTTGAGTCTATTACTTTTCCACTTCAGTCAGCTGTGTTTTGTCTGGATATAGACTGTATCACCAGAGTGTCCCTTCATAGGGAACTCTTGTGCTGCAGCCTGTGAGGTAGTTGAGGCCTGACTATAATTGAGACAGAAAGAGATAGAAAGAAGTAGATGGAGTCTAGATGGTTTAAGAGATAAAATAGGTAGGATATGGGAAGTAAGGAACAGTGAGAATCTATGAAGGCTAGCTTGCACAACTAGGTAAGGGGTATTTACTAAAATGAACATTTGAGGAGGAGGAGGAGATGTATGGAAAAGAATAATAGTTTTGGATTTCAATTACTATAAGACTTAATCTACTTGTAGAGATGTATAGCTAGCAGTGTAGTATAAATGTTGAAACATAAGTATTTTGAAATCCCGAGACCAGTTTCACCATTTACTTAGCTTGTGACCTTGAGCAGGTTATTTTGCCTTCTAAAGTCATTGTTTTCTCATTGTTGAGACCATAATACTTCCAGGAGTTAATATAAACATTAAAGATAAAGTATAGTACCTGGCACATAGTACCAGGTAAATTTTAGTTAATATATGTGAGTCTGACAGTTAAAATCTTGCACTCAGATGTGTGGAGTAAGATGAAAAGATAACCGTTGAATAGATGATCTTCATTTGATATAAGTTGTAGTTACATTTTTAAAGTTTATATTCATTTTGCCTGGCGTATTTTACAACACATTTTTTATACTTTAGGTATTAATCCAAAATTATCATTTTTGGACAATCTTTTAAAAATATGATTTATTAATTTCTTTAGCTCTTTTTTGACAATGACAAGTGTGACTTGGTCCAAGCCATCTGCTTTGATTTGGGAAGAAGACTATTTACATTTGGTACCTTAGGTGAGTGGTAGCAGAGAAAAGCTTGACCTGAAAGGCCTGTATCCTTCAGCCACAACCCAGTACAAGAAGAGCTATTAAACTGCATATTCTGATCAGCACTCAGGCAGAAGGAAGAGAACTGTAGTTGAAAGCAGTAGGAGATGGAACGGAATGGGATGTGCCCAGGACAGTCTAAGGCTTGGTGTGGAGGGCAGGATAGGTTATTCCTCCAAAAAGAGGCTCTTACGGAGTTCATTCACTCAGATCCCTGAAATGTAAGTTGGATTCTGCTCCCATAGACTTAGCACATCAAGTTAGACTGTAAGTTTTCCTATAGGGTTGTTAGATGTAACAGATAGGTTCTGATACAGTGCTATTCATTTGATAAGTTATTGACAAGTCTTCTGAGCTAACTTAATGAGGCTATAAACACCTTTTATAACATTATTGGGGAAAATACATAACAGTCTGACAAATTTTGTCATAATCAAACTTAGTATATTAGCTCATTCTTATAATAGTTATCAAGTATATTACATTTTTTAAAAATGAAAAATAAATGTCACATGCCATCCTTTCTAGAGGAGAATCTGAATATCTTCAAATTATGGCATGTTGCTGGGTTTTTTTGAAGCTTGAATAATCTTAAATCATTTTCTCTTATAGCATCTTAAACTTATATTGTTTAGAATTAGCACGTAATTAGTCTGATCATGTTGAATGACTCAGATCCATACTGGAGAGGTATCTGCTTAATTGAGGAAAAAGGAACTTATCAGTCACCAAAGCACACTCTTACTTTCCTTCATAGAGCTGCCTCACTGATGTAAGCTTAGATTCATTCTTGCATTACTACCAAATCGATGCAGTAATGTCTTGACTAAAGGTTTGGTTAGATGGGAGAACATTTATTATAATATCTTAGAGAATTGAGATGTAACTACTTCTTGCTAGTTATCTGACTAAAAATGACTACAGATGAAAAATACTTTAAAAGTTATTTTGAAATATATACTATCTAAACCCCTTCAATAATTCAGTATAGCAAAAAACAGTTGTTTAGATAATCTGAAAATTCATTTACAAAACTGGGAAAAGGAAAGACAGAGTGATCTTGTCATTTTAATAGGTATTAGAGTTCTGATATGTTTCTTTATTCTTTATCAGATACACATTTTAAGCATTCCCTCAATTAACAAATATTTATTGAGTGCTTATTTTGTCAGGCCCTGCCCTTAGGCACTTGGGGATACAGTGGTACAGCCTCTTATATTCTACATAATAAAAAAATAACGTGTCAGGAGGTAATACATATTGAGATCTAATGAGCAGATAAGTAACAAAAGCTTCATTAGGCATCTCACTTAGGGAAGTAAAGTGTTATAGCTGAAAAAGTGCAAGAATAGTAAACATGAGTCCTGGTTAGGGGTGAACCATAAAAAAGGTTAAAGAATTGGGATGCCTGGGTGGCTCAGTCAGTTGAGTCCCCGACTTCAGCTCAGATCATGATCTCACGGTTCATGGGTTCCAGCCCCATGGCGGGCTCTGTGCTGACAGCTCAGAGCCTGGAGCCTGCTTCAGATTCTGTGTCTCCCTCTCTCTTCTCTCCCCCGCTCACACTCTTGTCTCTCTCTCTGTGTCTCTCTCTCTGTCTCTGTCTCCCTCCCTCTCTCTCTCTCAAAAATAAACAAACATTAAAAAAATTTTTTTGAGTTAAAGAATCCAAATACTAAATGATTTGAAATTATGAATGTGAGTTAGGAATTTGCCAAAGGAAATTATGGGGAAAAGTGAAACATTATTCATCTGAAAGTGAAGTTTTCCATATATCTCTGAGGCCTTGACCCTCAATTTCCTCCCATATAGTAAGGCTCAAACTAGATATTGCTGAGAGTCTTCTTTAATAACTTTTTAAGGCTCTTTCTTGCAGCAAATAGAAAATGGAGGACAGCCCCCCGCCCCCCCCCCCAAACTAACTTGCTTTCATTCTACCTTTTAAAGAATTTCAATGTAGGTGCTTTTGTTCATGCCATGTGTTGTTTTATGACTTGTTGGTTCCAGGCATGGTCTGTCCTAAAACCTGATCACACCTGTGTAAACTGAACATTGTACCTGAAAGAACAGCTAAAATTTATCTCTAAGAATATATAGGATAGCAGTGTTCTGCTGACACTGTCTGTATATTATGTTACCTACTGAGAGGGAGGGAGTGTATTATCACCTCCTGAGAGGTTACGCAGTTTGAAACAAACCCAATAAGTCAAAAGCCCATAGTTGAGCTACAGGTAGAATTTATCCTTGTTACTAAGATCCAAAACTTTCCAATTCCAGAATTTAGGAAGAAGAGTGCTAGCTTTTAGTCTGTTCCAGTGTGAATAGGAAGAAAGGGCAGGAAACCAAATATTGCATTTCCAAAAAATATACTCACTTCTGAAATTTAAATATTGGCTTATTTTAAATAGGCGACATAAACATTACTTGGATCCCTAGGTCTGAGCTTTGTCCAGATATTCTCTATATTTTAAAAGGAAACCAGACAGGGGAACCTTTTCTCTGTTAAAGATTCTTTG